CCATACTTCCCATAACACATACCTAAGATTAATATTGAGAGAACACAGATGTTATCACCTTGAGGCACTGTTTAAAGATTCTTCAATGATTATGTATTTATCTTGGCAATATGGAAATAAAAAAAAGTTTGGCTCATGATCTGCTTTTATGAAGAAGTAAACATTCACAGATGATCATATATACATACACCTCTATGACTATCCTACAGTCGGTATTCAGTAGAGTTGGTAAAAATTAGTTTAACAAAATTCTTTCTTTGTTGACATTTCCTCTCTCTTTAAATACAGTACAAATTCTTCCAGTTGGGAGATCATCTGTGCTAAGGGTCCAGCTTCTTTGCATAATGCTAACTACTTGCTCTGTGTCAGGACTTTCACAACCAAACCTCGACTATATTGGCCTTTTTCACCTCCAAGTTTTTTTCTTCACGCTATTCATTTCACCTGAAATAACCTTACTTTCTTATCTTTACCTAATCAAATCCTAAGGGAGCCTTGGTAGCGTAGTGCCTAAGGCACTTGACTGCTAACCAGAAGGCTGGCGGTTCAAACCCACTGGCCACTCCTCAGAAGGAAGGTTGAGCAATCTACTTCCATAGTGATACTGCCTCGACAACCCAACAAGGGGTTGCTATGAGTCGGGTCCGACTGGACGGCACATAACAACAACAAAAAATCAAATCCTAACCAGTCGTCTAAGTGTAGCTCAAGCTTAGTCTCCATGGAGCTGTCCCAGGCCATTCTCTTCCACTGTCTTCCGACCGCACTGCCTTGTCAACATCATTCATTGTTGCATACACTGCCATTTCTGCTGTTGTCTTCTTTTTTATTTTCACTTTGTGTTATTTATCTCATAACTTCATTTTTCATGGTTTCCTCAACTGGATTATAAAGTCTTTGAGAACAGGAGTCACACATTTGAACTGAGCATGATCTTTTACACATAGTTGACATTTAAACATCTGTTGGTTGGCTAGACTACCTGAGGCATGAAGACAGAAAAATATACACTCCTACCTCACTGAATAGCAGTTAGCACAATCTGACTGATGACCCTCAACATGAAAATGGAAGGCATTTCTGACACTCAAGATGAATTAAACTACTGGCATAACTTTAACCCTACAGAAGGTAATTTTGTTGTGACATACATTTTGAATGACAATTGTATAAATAATCTGAGTTTAAGCAGATACTTATTACAATCAGCTATATTAAATAATAAGAAATAATGTTTATAGTTTAGTCAACAATTCCATTAACAAATTATTCACTGAGTTCCTAATTTGTACAAGGAACTACATTAGGAACTGCTGGGAAAAGGTGATGAATAAAAGACTATCCTAGTCCTCAGAAGCCAACACCTTAGTGGAGGAGAAACACTTGAAGAACTTTTTATAACAGAAATATTAAATAAGCAATACCAAAGAATTACTGAGTAGAAGTCCCTGGCTGGCACAAACGGGTGAACCCACCCAGAGGCAACTTGGAAGACAGACCTGACGATCTGCTTCTCAAAGTTCAAAGCCTTGGAAACTCTGTGGAGTACAGTTCCACTGACACACTCGACAGCAACTAACAATAACAATGTACTGAGTACTGAGTGTCATTAATTTCAATAGGTAGAGCTCAGGAACTATATACTGCCATCACCCCCCAAAAAAAAAGATAATGTTTGAGACAGGCTGTGAAAGATAATTAAGACTCTGACAGGCCAAAGATGGCAAAACAGTGTTCTGAGCTGTGAGATTAGAAAAAGCAAAAGGTAGACATACGAGAATATACCTTCACCCCACCTTTAGCTACTCTTAGTGGGTGATCTCACTTGCTACTTCATGGGGGGGGGGGTTATTCCTCTCCTATATGGCAAAATTTAGCTATGTTTCCATCTTTCCTTCTTATTTCAAATGGAACCAACTGTCCCTAATTCCTTCTCAAAGATAAATTCTCCAAATGATTTGGACCTTCCTGTTGCTTGCCTCCTACTGGACCATGTTCCAGCTTATAACGTTTCTCTTTCTTTAGTGGTTACATATTTTAAAGAACCGCCTATCCTTGTTTTCTCTATTTAGTCTCTAATTAACTCCTGAGTTACAAAAGGTTAACTGCCTCTTGAACCTTTCATGATATATTCTTTTTAAAATAAAATGAAATAAAAATTCACCTGATTTCATTCTTTTTTTGTTTTGAAATAAGCTAACCAGTTGTTTCTTTCTAAAATTTATTTACTATATTCAGAGAACAGAAAAAGTATAGTCTCTAAATAAGATTTCCCATTTCTAGAGAGGGAATGACTCCAGAGCTGAGATTCTATTCAAGTACTTTCTGTGAAGAAACTGCTATTGTAGTGACCAAAGAGAATCTAACTTTAGACAATGGCTGAACGCTGTTCTTTCAACGTATCTTTCTCTAACTTCAAGCTCTTTATAATTCTTCAGGTAAGAAAAGTTAGGGCACTCAATCCATTTTCTTTAGCAACATAAAGAAGCCACTTTTAAGGAAATTACGTCATGTTAGTCAAGGTCCTCTTTTTCAGAATTTAATGGTGATGTAGGTTTGCATCTCAACACTGTACTGACACCTACAGAAGGACCTGAGCCTGGGTCCCTGATTTATATTGTAGTTCTCCTAGCAGTCTCATTTATTAAAGGATAATGTTTAGGGTAGGAGCTCTGGTGGTATAGTGCCTAAGGCATCTGACTGCTAGCCAGAAGGCTGGCAGTTCAAATCCACCAGCCACTACTTGGAAAGACTGGGCAATCTACTCCCGTAGTGATACCGCCTCAGAAACCCAAGGAGGGGTTGCTATGAGTTGGATCTGACTTGATAGCAGTGAGTTTGGTTTTTTGTGTTTTTTTTTTTTTGGTCTAGGGTAGTTTCTCCTCTTAGGTACAATAAATGGCTAGAATACTCCATAACTTAATTTGCTCACCTGTCTTGCCTTCAAAGCCAAATTCATCAGCAACCCATTTACTACCTACACTGATGTCAAATGTGCAAAACCCCACCCATATGTTATAACTCCGTAAGTCTTTTCAAGGACAGTAGGTGGTACACATATTCTGCCATGAACTGTTCAGCAATTTATGGATCTTAGCTCATCTTTTCAGTTTTCTTTGTAATGAGGACTTCAGTTCACTCAATATCCAATTCCTGCCCTTTTTCTTTTTTTAACCTTCTACATACACTTTTTTCTCTCCCTTTTTCTTTTAAAAGTAAATGTATCCTGCCTCCCTCCTTTTTTAAATGGCTCTCCTTAAAGCAGACTAAGATCTGTATCATAAACTTCTCTTCTATCCTCCTAAGGAAGAGTTTATGGATCTACCAAATGCTTTATATGTTATAGGAATTTCATAAACATTTATCAATTACATGATTATAATTTCCTTAAATCTAACTTCACAGACATTTTGACTAAAGAATAAAATGAAAATTTCAGGCTCATCTCTGACATTTGTAGGGGCCAGGGCAAGAGTACAAATGGAGGCCCATATGAAATAGGCCTAAATAGTTGAAAGTTATAAATCAAGTTAACAAGTAAAATACGGTCTCTCCTTTAATCTTGGCAAGATTAGAAGGCCAAGTTCAAATTTGGAATTTTTAGACTCCTTAAAGTTGCACACAATAGTGTGATGATATGAGGACCAGGACCATACCTTCTCTTCCCATTCCCCAGCTCCATTCCATCCACCTCAACCCACTGCCTCTTAACCACCCTTCAGGTCTAAGGCACTTGTGGTTTGTTCTATGTTCCTACAGACAGACCTAGGTTAAAGACCTTGGAAGCAGGCTCTGAGCTATTTGGGGGCAGGGAGGTCCAGAGTGCCAGTACTCAGGGCACAGTGAAAGACTAGGCTAGGCACATCTCCTTGGCTCCTCAGATCCTTCACCCTATGGAGAAGTGTGGTTATAGTAACGAAAAAACAAAACAAAACAAAACAAAAAACAAAAAAAAAGTTGACTCCAACTTCAAGCAACCCTACAGAAAAAAGTAGAACTTCCTATACGGTTCCAAGACTGCAATTTTTATGGAAGTGGATTGACACATCTTTCTTACGAGGAACAGCAGGTAGATTCAAACCACTGACCTTTCAGTTAGCAGTCGCATATCTAACCACCAGAACCTCTGTGGCCATAGCAGAACTCTCTAAGTCACAAATCTCAAAGCAGGGCCCCTCTGGACCAGGACTTAACTCAAAAACTCACTGCCATCAAGTTGATTCTCACTCACAGAGACCCCCATTGGGTTTCTGAGGCAGTAAATCTTTATGGAAGTAGATTGCCTCATCTTCCTTCTGTGGAGCAGCTGGTGAGTTTGAACCACCAAACTTCTGGTTAGCAGTCAAATGCCTTAGGCACTGCACCACCAGAGCTCACTGACCAGGACTAAAGTCAGTACTAAATAATTTACCAAATAGAGAATTTACCAGATTGGTCTTGTTACTAGTTAACAGTTGCAATTAAAACCCAAAATTACAATTTCTAATCACTTTTTTACAGAATTCAATGTACAGCTAGAAGGAGTTGAGAAGGCAAAGAGGAGTGGAAAAAGGAGGAGAACGTAGAGTATGAAAGACAAGATTAGACATGCAGATCTAAGAGAAGACATTTGCCTTGGGTTCAGTCGTTTGTGTAGGGAAGCTTATGACACCATGATTAACCATTTAATCAAAGCCACTAGTATCACAGCTTGCTCTCACAAACGCACAGATTAATGCCGTTGACTCAACTGCCTAATCATGCCCCTATCCTAGCCACTGTGTACATGGTGAGCAAGTCAAGCTGAGTTTGTCAGCATTTATGCAAAGGCTGGTGTCAGCTGTCCCTACCCAGAATCCCTCACCTCAGTGTAATTTGCTGCACCGCGATTTCCACTTTACTTAGCAAGAACGTAATCTGTTCATTTGAAACAACTAATAAATAATTCTCATCACAATGCACATACATACGTCACGGGAAGGGAAGTATTTCAACTGGAAATCTTATTTACGGGTACTTACTGAGATTGTACCATTGTCTAGACCTATGGACAGTCTTCTGGTTTCCGGGTTAAAAGACATGCATGAACATGGAGCTGAAAGAAATGAACATGTTGATGAAATTAACAAAGTGATGATTCTCATCCATTCAGGAGTGCCTATCTAGCTAAAAGTGTATGGCTACTTCCCATATTTTCTTACAAAGTTCATTAGACTCTCACACGCCAGAAAATAAAACAGTGATTTTACAGCCAACTCCTAATTTTTTAGTTGTCCTTTTAATGAACATAACAAACAAGATATTTTCCAACTGGGCACATTCCAAGGGATTTGGTCTTGGCGGTTCTGTCAGCATTAAGTCTAAATTTGCTGGACTAGATAAACAATACTTTGTGTTATGTAATTCTTCTTTCATCAATTTTCTCTTCTATTCAGTTCCGATTTTTAATACAAATAAACTATCCTTTCTGAACTGGAAAAAAAAAAAAAAGGAAGATCTTCTTACCCTCCACACATATACACACTAGTAAACAATCTATTTTTAAATTCAGAATTGGTTTGAAGCATGTGGACAAACAGGACTCAAAGCATTCAGGGGGTTATGCTGGAGTCTGCTGACTGAAAATGACTAAGGATTTCTCTCAGTCTAAAAGACAACCAACTAGATTACATGTAGGGCTAGGCACTGTAGGAAACAGATCAGGTGAGTCAGTACACACAGTCCTGGGTTGGGACTCCCTGTTCCCCACAGCTAACTACCAGAGAGTATCTGAGCCTAAGTACATTAAGTATGCTTGGCAGCCCCAAGGAGTCAACAAGTGCTTACTGAACAGTCAGCTATGGATCCGTACCTTCTTTATCTACACTTGCTCCTAATAATGGGGTCTTTTGATCATTTTTACCCATACTGAAATAGCTGTTCCAAAGAATCCAAAACAGTATTTAAATGCCTCCCCTTATCCTTACAACAGCCCTGTAAATCATAAACTACTCACCAACATAACCAGTTTGAAGTATTTTTATTCCTATTTTTCACTGTTATGATTAGATGTCTTACCCAAAGGCCCACAGGGAAAATAAGTTGGAGAAGGTTCAAAGTCACAATTCACACACACTCCCATTTTCAAGCAAATAACTTAGATTATCTTTAAACTATAAAAGAACTTCAAGTTCTACTGACAAAGCCACTTCATAAACATATCACTTAGGAACATATTTCATTCTCTATAAAAGAGCCTCAAAGAACAACAAAAATCTTCTAAGTGGCACAAAGTACTAAATTTTTTCTATGTTGTAATCATTATACATTCAGAAAAGGAAATGGACAAAAAAAAAAAAAAAATCCTACAAAACTTCCACTAGCATAGAATATAAAATAAAACTAGATTTTCAAAAGTATCCTGCTGAAAAAAACAAACTACTCAAAATAATATTTAATGCACTGTTCTAAGAAACTCATTCTTATTTGTCCTTGGCTTATAAACCCTGTTGGCATAATTTCTATACAGTTGTTAAGATTCCAGGTCTCATAATACCATAAAATGTGTGCAGAATTAAATCTAATTATTTCATGGACAATTATCCTGTTAGGTGAAAATAGCAAAAGAAAAATTATAGATACACTGTAATTACAACTATGTAATCACACACATAAAAGTACACATGGAAAAAAAAAATGCAGCCTGTTCCACCAAGTGTTTGGGTGACAATATTAGGAGTTATGGTTGACATTATTTCTGTAACATTACCTTTAATTTTATTGTTTTACTCTTCGTGTTAAAATTAATTTTAAATATCCAATGAATTATCAAGATGTAAGCATGAACATATAAAGCAAACTCTTGACTGTACTCTAAAGGACCACAGAGTACTGAAGAATAACTGTATCACTAAGATGTCTGCCTGGCCACCTAAAACCATTTTCTATGTGATTTCCTCCAAAATTCTTATCTAGTTATGTAACAGTTTGAAAACCCACTGATCTAAATGCGATTTAACAGACTTTTTACAACAGTGAACACCAGACGCTGTGGTGGTGAGTCTGAGTCATTAAGAGTCCACATGTGTCTGAGCAGAACTACCCTCCAGAGTTTTCAATGGCTCATTATTTATATATTTAATTATTTTGTAAGCAGAGCACCAGACCTTTCTTCTGAGGTGCTTTGGGATATACTTGAACCTCTAGTTAGCAGCCAACTGTGTTAACTGTTTGCATCATGCTGACATTCCATATGCTACCCTTAAATCTTAGTTGCTATTTCTTTTTTCCTCTTTTTGCATATCTATTGTACTTTTTGTTATTCATTCAATAAAAATTTAGAATGCTTATTATGTGCTAGACATGCAGTACAATATGTAAGGTATGTAAATCAAAGGGATTTACAGACCATGATACCTACTATAGGCAGTACCTCTAAGACTCATGCCCAATTTTACCTCTTGGTTTAAATCACTCATATTTATAGAAGGAAACATCACCAGAATTCAAAATCAAAAACATTATTTCCTTTAAACAAACATAAACAAAAGAAATTTTAATAGAAATACTGCCATTCTAGAATACATATGACTGAACCCAAGATGATTCTGCATGGGGAGGACCAGAGCTATAGAGCAACAGCCCACACGTGCTCCCAAAGGAAAATGACACCTTCAGAGAAGCTATGGAAAACAGCAGGCAAATCTGGTGTGTGTGTGTGTGTGTGTGTGTATGTGTGTACAGGGAGAGAAAATTGCTAAGTAAGCCTTATGATGCTCATCAAACCATTTCCCAACAGGGACACACACACTCACAAGTACAGGCCCTAGGCTGTTTACCCACAGGCCCTTGGCAGGCCCAGGGAGGCAGGGAGTAGACCCAAAAGAAGATAAATGCCTGTGTTTGCTATTACAGTCAATGTTTTTTCCCTTTTGGTGATGGGGAAGCAGATAAACAGATTAACACACATCCTTCCAACCTCAACTCACCAGAAATTAACAACTAAAGGCAACTTGTGAAAAACCAGTTCTATGGTCTATATAAAAAGGGATCCTAGAGGTGCAAGACACATACCAAAGGCTCAAAGCTTTATGGGGAAGGATAAAAAGGCACAATAAAATAAAGGTAATTATGGCCAAATGGTAAAGGGAATCGAAGGGAGAACAAACAAAACATGATTTAAGCACAACATTTGTAGCTAGGTTGCAAAATGTGGTAACTTCACAAGTAAGAACTCTAGTTTAAATGCTGTAAAACTAATAATTCATAAAACAATAAAGAAACAATTGGCCTCTCTGATGGCTGGAGATACAAGTTAGAGATAAACTGGCTGAGAGCTTGTTCTGTTCTCCCATCTTAAATTTGCTTTCTGCAAAGAATGAGTGAAATGGCTGACCAAAGCTATAAAATCACAATTCAACTCCCTTCTACCGACTACCCTATCAAAAATTCATCCCCGACTTCTAAATGAAATGAAACACAAAGCCAGATGACACAGTTATTCCTCCCATATTAAACTGTTCTCCCATGAAAAAGGATGGCATCAGTTAAGCTTTGTGGGGTGACTCCCCAGTGGCAAGGCCCCTCGCATTTACAAACTTTGCCGGCAGGTGCTCCAATACCAGTCCAGTAACTGAAATTTAAGGCTTTGCCACTGGTCCTGTTGGGCTATACCCAAGCTTCCTATTTTTTCCCCAGCATTTTTATTAAAACCTAGAAAAATAGGACCACAGTTTCCTGATAAAACTGTATAAGAACTCCTTTTCCACAGTATCTGAATAAAACTTGTCATTTCCATTTTCAGTTTCAGACTGATGACAGATTAAAAAATTTTTTTTAGAAAAATACCGAAAGGCATAAATAAGACAAAAAACAAATTTGGGCAGTCTATGGCTAATGGCCACCACCTGTTGTCATTTTATTGGACTGTGGTGGCTTGTATGTTGCTATGATACTGGAAGCTATACCACCAGTATTTCAAATACCAGCAGGATCACCCATGGTGGACAGGTTTCAGTGGGGCATCTAGACTAAGACAGACTAGATGGAAAGACATGGTGGTCTACTTGCTAAAATTAGCCAGTGAAAACTTGATAGAGCATAACAGAAGACTGTACATTTCTCTTGGTTTTGGATACATCAGCAGAGAGATCATTTGCTAGATGAGGACACGTTGTGAAGCAGAAGGTAAATGAGGGCAAGGCAGACCGTTCATCCAATGGGCTGGCACAACGGTTGGAAAGATGGACTTGAACGTGCTGGTACTTGTGAGGATGACACACAGTGGGCAATATTTCATTCTGTTCTACATAAAGTCACCATGAGTCGGAGTTGACTCAGTTATCTGTGGGTAATGGTATTTTCTTACATTAGTCTCAGGACTTTAGGCCACTGATGGCCTGCCAATATCTCACCTTTAAAATTAAACATGCTCATAAAATTTAAGTATTTTTAAAGTGTTGATTTTTTTTTGCTTTTTTGTTTATAATTTAAGGCAAGAATTCAGAGAAAATGCAAATAAAAAGAAGCCCCAGTAAAGGTGATTATATTAATGAACACATAATATGAAGGGAGAAAAGATGAAGAGATATGAGCCCCAGACAAAGGGGACTCAAGAGACTGCAATAGCAAGTCAATAATT